GAATGTAAGGAAATCCAAACCCAAAATATAAGTTACATAGGAAATACTACTTTTAACATTTTGTTTTCAGAGAAGAAATTACCTAATGTTCAAATACAACTTATGGGAACACTATCAAAATTAAATGCATTCATTTGACAAGATCTTTTTTCCAAGTAGAAGGTTATGATGTTAAATGAATTCCTCAGCTTATATCCATATTTGGTGTTACTTCCTCATATGCATTTTCTATGGATTTATTTTTTCTTTTCTTATAGTTGAAGAATCTCATCAACAATCAGAGAATTGATCTAGCGTTATAGTGTTATTATAGACTTAAATGGGAACAGCTAAGTTCAGAACAGTATTTTGTTATTTCATCGATTACAGCGAATTAAAAAACACTTTATAAACTCCACAAATATCCTCCACAGGTAACAAATACACTGGTGTCTCCAAGTCAGATTTGGGGTAGAAAGCTAACCCACATTTATGAAAACTGCAGGTCATTCCCTCTAGCAGCGGAAACCAAAGAGTCCCTACAATCAGCAAGTCTTGAACCGTTACCGTGATCAAGTTCTCAACTTCTGATTGAAGTGGTAGATAACAGATATGTGCCTGGAGCCAGACAGACAGAACAACCAAAATCCAATTAATTATAGGACTGAGGTGAAAGACTGGGAAATGCTCTTTATGCACTTATGTAAAACTAGAAGGATGTCTCAAGAACTCAGGTTCAGCCATCAAAAAAGCTCAAGGATTCAAGAAGTCCTGTCCCCACACTTACTACTTAAAAGCATTTGTATTTTTTTTAACCAATGTGGCCTACATTTGAACCCTCAGCTTAAAGGTGGAAAGCTTTACATCTCATTACTAATACCCTGAGACAGTCATTCCCACAGCATCCATTAGTATTGTTCAAAAAGACATCAGAAGAGATTAGGCCCCCTACATTCTGCAATCACAGCCACCAATAGATTAGACTGCAAGATCTCATTTCTCTCACCGTTTTCTATTGTACACTACCAAGAGCTACAGCAAGCACTTAAAACCTTAATAAAAAACACATTCCTTTACAGCATGGCAGGGAAAAAGTTAAGTAACCACAACAGAAAGGCAGTGGAAGCTAACATTAAGACTGCTGATAACAGGGCAAAACACAATCAATCATGCCAGCCACAATTCCCACATCTACAAGTAAGAATTATCCAGCTCCTCAAAAAAAAATTTTTTTTAGTTCTCTTTTGGTCAAGTGTGTCTGGACAAAGGCAGACATGGACACAAGGCCCACAAGGCTAAAAAAATGTTAAGCAACTATGAAGAGAAAACCATTCACAGAGGGTTTTTTTAATACACTAGAACCCCAAAAATGAGAAACCAGATACCACGTCTGAAGGGGTGACTGAAGGAAACAAGATCTGAAACTTGAACACGGAAGTCCTCCAATATTCTAGTATTTCTAAAATATTTATAATCCCCTCAACTACAACTATTAAAACCATATGAACAGTAGTCCAGGAACTAATGGCTGAAGTAGAAATAACATTACCCATCTACTGAAAGCATTTCTGTTTTGACAAGGAAATTCATCCAAACAGTAGGCGTAAGATTCCAGGCTCTAAAGACAGTTCTGTGATCAAGATCAAAAAGGTAAGAAATAACTTTGCTAAAAGGCTATTGCAGACTGCAAGAACTTACACTGGAAAAGTTACAGGACTTATAAATTTATTTTTTTCCTGAGACAGAGATATGCTATTTGAAATAGCATGATTTTTTATAAGATCTGAGAGCATACCAGTGAAGAGTTAAATCTGACAGAGACTGTATTTTGCAACATTCTTAAATTAACATGCCTTTCAGTATAATTAGTTCAGCCGGTATTATATACGCGTATACATGCTCAAAAGGCCAATTTGATAGGACCATTATCGGGAAGAAGTTTCAAGTAACTGCTATGGTAAGATACAACTTTGAATTTTACACCAGTCTATACACCAGCCTCCAGTCAAAACACCTAATATTTCTGTATTTCAAAAAATATTTTTTTTTCAAGACAGAGCATGCGCACATGTGGAAGGCAATATTTTTCCAGCCTCACAAAATAGTTGTATTTTAAGAGAGTATTTTGAACTGGAAGTCGAAACCTCACACCGTGATTTTACACAAGAGAAAATCTGCAGTATTTAAGCTGATGCAATTTCTCACAATTCCTCGCATGGCAGGAATCCTAACACAAGACTATTCTTCTTAGGAGCAAAGACAACATACACCTTCAAGTCTCGTTTGCCGTTAAAATAAATACACTTAACAGGTGGAAAAAAGTGTGATTTATCTGTCTCTCTAGGTAGGTGATACCACCGGTTTGAACTATCACCCAAAATAAATTGCTTCTCCAATCATACACATTTGTTGTTGAAAGGTGGGTGTGCGTATGTTAAAATATAAGTTAAAAAGTAAGAATTCTTAGAACGGGTCGTGGTTTGGGCACTGGGACACTCAGTAGATCAACAATGGCCTTTAAGTTTTTTACAATCACGCTCTGGAAGCTGCTTCAAAGTAAAATCCGGACTTGGGAGTTGATAAAAATCGCCACAGCTAACGCCACCTTACAACCAGTACGTTTACCAAAAACTTAGTAATTCAAGCGGGCCGAAGTTTGCGGGTAGCAGTGCCATAGGGAGTGCGTTTTGCCCCAGCCCGGCTCCCGAGTCAGCGCATACCAGCCCGTGACATCAGACCGAAACCAGGCAGTTTCACCGGGGAGCAAACGCCGAGCCCGGCTCCGGCGACTCCGCCGCCGCGGGAGCTCCTCGGGCTGAACCCGCTCGGGACTGGCAGCTACAAATTACTTCCAAATTTAAATTCGAGCTCGTTTCAAAGCCAACCTTTAATTTCGCACGGAGGAAAAACAACCTGTTGAGCGTCCCTCACCCCACCTCCTCCCCCGGGGGCGGCCCGCCGCTGCTCACCGCGGGGTCCGGGCACACACCCCGCACCTGCGCCCCCGCACTCCCGCGCCCGGCCCCGCTCTCCCGGGGGGCTCCCGCCACCCCGGAGCCCTTCACCGCCGGTCACCCACCGTCACCCCCGGCGGATTCAGCGCCCGCAGAAAAATGCTGCCGCGCAGGACTCTCCCGGTCGAACCTTTCCTCGTTGCGATCCGACTCCCCAGCCGGGAACAAAGGGGCACGGCCTGCCCCTGCGCGCTCCGCCCGGCACCGCCGCCGGCTCCCG